CCACACACGTGCGAGAATGCACGGGCATACGATCATAAACACACTGGGCCAGTTCCTTCTCAGCTTTGTGCTCTGCTTTTCCGCCAGGCACAACCTGGAGCCGGGGGCAGGCTCAAACCCTTGCTTCCTCCACCAAGGGCCCAGGTTCATCATGGCCACGGCCCCACCCAGTGCAGAGGAAGCCCTGTGGGCATGCAAATGTGTGTTCCCAAACGYGCCCGCTCAGGAGCCACTCTGTGGGCTCAGCACCAGCACACCCCACCCTCTCTGCCCCTTCTCAGCCTTGGCCCCTCCCCGTACTTCAGAAGCAGCCCCTGCTCCCTCCCCCAGTGCTTTCTTTCTCACAACCAAGATGCATAGAGGCTGTCAGCCAGGGACCCCTGGGCTCCTCCTTCCCCAGGAGGGACCTGGGAAGGGGAAGAGGGGCAATCAGAGATGGAGTCATGGGGTGGAGGAGGGACTGGCTGGCTCACCCAGCACAAGAAAGATGGGAAGTCTGAATGGGGGGTAGGAGGGAGGGAAGAAGAAAAACAGAGCGAAACAGAGACACAGAAAAAGAAATGTACAGGAAGAGATGAGGGGGGAGGCAAGGAGAAAGATAAGAAAAGGGAGTCAGAGAGACAGATAGATAAAGACAGAGAGCCAGAGAAAGAGATGGGGGGAGAAGAAAGAAAGAAGAGTGAAAGGCATTGGGGTGACCGCTGATGGCTGACTCTGCCTGGCTTCTGGATCTGACATACCAGAGAGTTCCTGAGAACTCAGCCACCCTGCAGTGACATGTCCATCCCCCTGCCGCCCCACCCCCTGCCACTGCCACACACACCAGGGGCCCCTGACTCACCACTAGTTCTCAGAACCCTCTCCCTCTGTCCTGGGACTTGCCTTAGGTAAGCACCAACCCTCCTCCTCTCCCCTGCTAGCCTTGGCCCCAACAGCACCCCACATCAGGTCCTCCGCCCCTGAGGTCTGCCGAGTAGCCTCTAGTGACTCCGAGGGAGGGCACTTCCCTGGTGTGCTCACCCCTCCCCAGCCCCTGTCCAGAGTGTCCCCAGCGGYAGGGACCCAGGGAGCCCACAAGCATGGTGGCCAGGGGCTGTGCAAGCTGTCAGTCAGCGTGCTCAAAGCTGCCGCGTTCATTTGGATTCATAATCAATCTGTCTATTCTAGTCCATTATCTCCTTGTTAGCTCCACGGGTGAGGGAGGAGGGAGGGGGCTGTGCAGGAGGGGGTGGGGGCGATCTGACTGCTGCCCCACCCAAGGGGACAGCTCAGCTCACCACTCTGCATGCCCCTGGCCTGTCCATTCCCTTCACCCCTGGGTTGAACTCACTCACTCGGGGGTTGGAAAGAAATTGGGAAGCGAGAGCACCCAGGCAGCCAGACTGGAGGCCTGAGTGATGATTGGACAGGACTGGGGGTGACAGCCTGGATGGGTTTCCTATCAGGCAGAAACCTAGCCTTAGACCAAGACAAGGCCATCTTCTGGTCTCCCTAGGGCCATTAGAGAGAGATATTGAGTACCTTCCCGTTAATTACCACAAGATGCCAATTACTGCAGGCTGCTCAAGTAACTACCAGACAGCAATACCCCCACCTCGGACTTCTTCCAGCCTGTCCAACGCAGGAGACCAGGGAGGCTGGCCCACCCTCTACGTCCGGACCACAGGAGAGGGGCTTTCTAGCAGTTCCTTCCCTCTTCTAGAAGTCTCGCTGGCTCCACCAGTCACACAGAATTCTCCAGTATTTTCCAGCCGTCACCCGGTAATGCTTGAGTATCATTAGGGCAATTATTACAGCATACTTCCTTAGGTCTAAAAAGTGCTTAAGTATTTTGTAACCGATTGTTGCACAATGTCAGGAGACAGCAGAATGCTAGAGATTCCTCCCAGGTTTGGACCTGGAAGGTAGGAGAACCTTCAGCAATAGCCCTGTCTCCCTAACCCAAAGAGGGAGACAAGGGTGAAAGGGAGATGGGAGTGGAGGAGAGTGGAGGAAGAGGAGGGAGGTTCCCATTTCTCACATCCAAATGGAGGGGTCTGGGGGCGCTGGATGGTGGAAATGGGGAGAGGTGTATTTCCTCACCACCTCCCACCAATTCCAGCTTTCCCAAGTCGGGGGAAGAGCTGGGGTTGGCTGGTCACGACAAGGAGGAGTAAGGGGATGGCTTTCCCTAGGAAAGGGGCGCAGGTGCCACACTGAAGGGTTCTCCGTCTCTGACTACCACCCTCTATGGGGACAGCGTGGGTTCCTGGGTGAGCTGCAGAAAGCGGCTTCTAGACCGCTCAGCTTCTCAGACCTGGTCTGCGGAGATCCCCCCCTCCCTTTGCCCGAGGTCAGCTACTCGGCTGCCCTGAGTTCTAGTCAACATCCAGACAGTGACCGCGGGGCTAGTAGGGGAAGGGGCAGCGGCAGCAGTGGAGGAAGCCGGGGCAGCGCCAAAGGCTGCGCGGTGCCACCTTCGCCGCGCCCACCCCACCTGACCCAGCAGTCGGGCTGCGAGTCCGCGCCCTAGGGATAGGGCTATGCCCTCCTGTCCCCGCGCCCTGTCGCGGGTCGGACACTCACAGCTCTGTCAGGTTCTCGGCGGTCGGCAGTTGGCGGAGGCTATAGAGGGTCCCAGCCTTGGAACAACGCAGCCCCGAGGGGCCAAAGCGGCAGCAGACATCGGGGCAAGAGGCAGCGCCCGCGGAGGCCAGCATCAGCCAAGCCAGCAGGCTGCCCGGGCCCGTAGCCTGGCGGTGCCAGCCCAGCTGCCCGCGCGGTCCGCCCCGCAGCATCGCGGCGGCGTCCGCCTCGCTCGGCTGGGCGGCAGTCCGTGCGCTCCCAGCCACAGGGCCTCCCTGGACATGTGCGCTGGGCKGTGTTAAAGACCCAGCCGCCAGGAAAGGGCGGAGCCAGCGGCCCCCGCCCGGCCCGGCCCCGCCCCTCCACCTCTAGCCCCGCCCCTCTTCCGAAGCCCCCAACTCTGCCGACTCCCCTTTCGGGGCCCGGGTGCCAGTCCTTTCGCTAATACACCTCCATCTCCAGGAGCAGTGGAGAGGCCGCCGCCGAACGCCTTCGAAGTGTCTTCTGGAGGTGGGGGAGTGGGAAGTGATGCGCCGTTTCTCCCGGAGTATAAAGCAGCAGCGTTTTTAGATGTGGGAGGAGGAAGACCGAGCTGGGGAAAGATTGCAGTCCAGGTCACACCAGGCAGCCCCCGCCCTACGACGCACTTGCCTGAAGGCGCCGTGCACGTCAGTTGAGAAAAAACATGAAACACTCTCTAAACCCCAGTAGGAAAAGGGAAAGGACCCCCAAAGGACCAAACGCAGAACCTAGGCATGAACACAGAAGGGACAGAGGAAGAACYGATCGCCTTTAACAGCCCAATGGAGATCAAGGAGCCCAAGCCCCGCTGACCAGGAGAAACCACAGGGTGGCGCTAAATGCCCACACGCAAAGGTGCGCGCTCCCGGCCTGGGTCGGGTGGATCCGGCGCGGTGCGCAGCCCCCACTGAGTGCTGTGCCTCGGGTCCTCGGGTCAGTCGTCGACTCCCGCCAGGCAGCTGGGGCCCCCGAGCTGGGTAGGGCCAGGCGAGCAGGACTGGCATCGATCGCCATCCTGACAGGAGCATTGATTTCTTCACGGAGAAATTAATAGACCTTCTCTTAGCTCTTCGGACGCGGGAGCCGCCCGCGGGTGGAGCCCTTGGAGGCTGCGCACCTGGAAAGCCCCGGGATCCCCAGCACCCACGGAACCAGAAGGCAGGTCCCGGTGTTTCTCAGCACCCAGCCTTGGAATCTGCAAGATCCCGTCAATCTCAAGACCGGGAGAGGGAGGGGAGAGGGAGGAGGAGGGACTTTGGGAAGGAGGTCGACAGGTGCCCAGGCAGCGGGGGAAGGAAATCCTCCTAGAGGCCATCAGTTTTCCTCGCTGCCAGGGCCCCTGCACAGATGGTCCCCCAAGGTCCCCGACACAGGGATGCACAGATAGCAGCCTGAATTCACTAAGGTGAGCGTACAGAGGCGGAGCCTCCCAGGGTGATCGCCCTCCTTAAGCCTTGCTCCCGCTAAGTGACCAAGGACAAGTGTGGCCCTGAGGCTGAGAGAGGCTTTGTGAGGCGCGGGGCTTGAATATTCAGGAGACACTGTCCACCCCCTCGCCAGTTCCAACAGTCTCCTCCCGGTCGAGGCTGTACGGGGTGACCCCGCAGGTGTCAAGGCACCTGTTGGTAGAATCCAGAAACACCTCTCCCCCAGGACGCGCGGGCGCTGTCGGTCTGTCCGGCTGTGCAGGTCCACTTGGAGGAATCTGCAGCAGAGGCGGCAGCAGAGCCGGGAGAGGACCCGGGGCAGCCGGAGCAGGGCTGGGGGAGCTCGGTTCTTGCCTCTCCCCCACCCACCCTCGTAATTGGACCTTATTTCCCCAACAGATCTGTGCCCCTCAGTTGTCAGGCTAAATATTTTGGCTCAGCGGGAGGGGCGGAGAGAGGGAGAAGTCCCCGCAAACCAATCCGTTTCGACTGGGGGCGGGGAGGACRCGGCTGGGCGCGGTCGGTGGGCCCGCCCCGGGAGATATTGCCGGAGCGCGGCCGCGGGCGCTGGCAGAGTGCGCCCAGGAGGCCAGCGGAGGGACTCGACGCCCGGCCTCCCCGGGGCTCTCCCTGGGCTTGCGCTCCGCCTCACCTCGGAGGCCTCGGGCCGCTCTTGAACCTTGTGTCACTTTCTCCCTTTGGGGTCCTTTCTGAGGCTCTCCCTGTCACTGCGACTCTGTTCCCATCTGTCTCTGGAGTCACACAGAGTCCCTAGTCTCCAGCAGCCTGTCGCTGGCCGTGTCTGTGGTCGCATTTCCTCCTCTGCCTCAGCTGTCAGAGCGGGGGATTCCTGCTCTCCCTGCCCTTTCCCTTCCCCTCCTTTCGAAGCCTGGGCCTTGGCGTCCTTTAAGGTGGTCAGACCCTTCTCTTCTCTGGTGGAGCCACCCGGAGGAGGGCCAAGACGGAACACAAGCCAGGGCTGGGACCATGGCAGTGCCTGGTCTGTGGCCCTGGGGAGCCTGCCACCTTATGATTCTCTTCTCCTTGGGATTTGGCCTGGATACACTAGAGGGTGAGTCCCCAGCACTGTCTCCCAGACTTCCATCTCCCTCCCAGAGAGCTGGCTGGGAAGCCAAACAACTGAGCCTCCAGCCGGAATGCATCTTATTCTTTACTGCAATGTGAAGACTTAGGTCAGCTCTCAGAAGGACTTCCCATTAGGAAAAACAGTTAGTGGTCTACATAAAAGTGTTTTTTTCTCTCAGCTCCCTAGGAGATGAGGACTTGGAAATGGGATAAATAGATGTCTTCCATTCCAGTTTGTGAAGTCATGATCCTTGTAAAATCTGTATGAGAACGATAAATGAGGCTGTAAGAGTGTGAGGTCATTTGTGGGGCCATGGAATGGGAAGGGACAAGGCTGGGACAGGTAGCTGAGAACCAGGTGCTATTAAGTAACTGAATGTGCAGGCGGGAAACAGGCTCAGTCAATGGGGCAGTAAAGCTAGACAGGTCCCGAGCTCCTGCATTCAGGGCCCTGTCCCTTGTCCCCCACTCTCAGGACCTATCTGCAGTAGGGAGAGGGCCTGGCTCTGGGGAAGAGCTGCCTTTCCCTGGTGTCCCAGCCTTCGTCCCCAGATGGACACTTTCCACAAGTAGGGATCAGAAGCTGGGGTGTGACCTTGAAGGCAAGTGGCCCTCATGGGCACAGCAGGGGATCAATGGGGGGAGGAAAAGGAGCAATGGGGGAAGAGTCAAAGGGGAAAGAATAAGTGGGACCCCCCTTCCTCAATCCCACCACCCCCTCCAGAYTGAGGGAGCTCTGGAATCTATTGCTCTGTGCCTGCCTGAGGGGTCTCATGATGTCCTTGAGACTGGGGGCCCCAGGGGCAAGGGAGAGCCTCCCCTTCCTACAGAGACAGGGGAATGATGCAAATGGGTTGGGGTCGGGGGTCCCCTGAGGGGTGCTAGTCCCAGAGTCTCTGCCTGCAAACCACAGTGCCCCTCCACTGAGCCCCCTCCTCTCCCCCTCCATTGCTGTGCCAGGACAGGGCCCAGCGGATGCCAGCCGGGAACACAGTTGTCAGGGCAGGAGCATGTCCCTGGGTGAGTGGGGTCAGTGTTTGGTCAGGGGACACAGATGCTGCGTTCCCAGTGCAGCTCTGCAGAGCTGTGTCTTGAGGGAAGGCAGGGGTTAATTTGCAAAGGTCTTAGATTTGTTTTTCCAAATGACTCCCATCAGGGGAGCCCTAGAGAGGCAGGGGCATGATGGGAAGTGGGCGCCTGAGAGAACCCCCCATCTGCCTGGCAGAGCCTGATTGGCCTTCTCCTGGAGGGCTAGAAGTGTCTTCTCCTTCTCTGCCTCCCTTTGGTGTGTGTGCGGCTGCCTGAGCCCAGACACACACACACACACACACACACACACACACACACACACACAGCTGCTGGGCAGAGCCAAGCTCAGGACCACTAATAACCATGTGAAGAAGGTGGGAAGCAAGCCCCTGGGAGCCAGCCTCCCCTGCCCAGGCCCCTCTAACAAACCATCACCGAATGAGCCTGGACAGTGCGTGCGATGTTGCCGCAGCGCCAGGTGGGAAGGGAGGCAGCAGAGGCTGGACAGGTCAGCTGGACCAGACTTGCAGCTTCAGCAAGGGGAGCCACGCAAGGCCCCTTGGGAGAAACTGAAGCAGGCATCCAGCCCCTACAGGGGAAGAGCCCTAAGTGCCTTGGGCGACAACGGGGAGGGGACCTGGGCCCGAGTCTGAGGAAGGCAGGCATTCTGGGTCCCCAGGGAGGGAGGCATGTGGGACGCAGATGGCCATGGTCCACAGTCCCCAGGAGCCCTGTTGTTCCAGCCCTGCACTGGGCATCATGGGGCATGCAGAGCTGACTCCTGGGCCTCATCCTCCCTGGAGGGGGTGATGGAGACGCAGACAACAGTGTCAGGTGACGCCCCAGGTATGCTCATGACCAGCCTTGACTTACTAAGTGCAGCTAAGCCCAAAGGGGAAGTGAGTGACTGAGGATCAGAGGGTTAGGAGGAGCCTCGGCCTGGGCTGGAGACAGGAGTGGGATCAGGTAATCTACACCCAGAGTGTCGGGCCCAAGAACTGAAATGCGAGCTCTGGCAAGGGGAGCCATGGAGTGTCCTTCAAGGGTAAGCCAAGGCAGGAGCCAGGCAGAGAAGGTAGGACGATGCGTTGGGCACGGGGCCCATGCCTCTAATGTCAACAACTTGGGAGACTGAGACAGGATGACTGCAAGTTCAAGGCCAGCCTGGGCCTGAGACCAGCCTGAGACCCTGTCTCAAAATTTAAAAAAAAAAAAAAATTTAAAGGGCTGGGGATGTAGCTCAGTGGTAGACTGCCTGCCCTTGGGTTCTATCCCTAAGACCACCAAAAAAAAAGGGGGGGGCATGAAGCTCAGTGCTCATTGCTTCCCAGCCTCAGGATTCAATCACCTGTCAAATATTTATTGAGTGCCAGTTTTGTGTCAGGCACTCTACCGTGCACTAGGATCCAGCGATGAATTAAGCAAAGATCACTGCCCTATGGAGCTTACAATAAACAAAATAAATAAAGTAGATTATATATTAACCAGTGTTGAGAGCGCTAGAGAAAAATTAAACAGGGGATGGAGGGTGGGTAGTGTCACAGTTTTCAAAAGGATGGTCACTTATGAAGGTGAGGAAACCATGTAGGTGGAAGAGTGTTCTACCTAGAGGGAACAGAAGGGACAGAGACCCTGAGGCAGGATTTGRCCGATTGTTTGAGGGACATCCAAAAGGTCAAAGTGGTTGAAGGAGAGAAAGAAAAGGAATAAAATCAGGGGGTTACAGGGGCCCAAACTGTAGGGCTTTGACTTTTACATCAAGCAAGATGGGAGTCATGGGAGGTGGGGCTCAAGCAGAGGAGGAGTGTGGTCCAACCGTGTCTTGGGGTGACCCTGGCGTTAGAGTGGAGAACAGCACAGAGAGGCCAGGCAGAAGCAGGAAGGCAATTTTGGAGGCTGTAGATCCAGAGTAAGACGATGGTGGAAACCTCGAGAGTGGTGACCAGTGGTCAGGTTCTGGACATAAATAAAATATGAAGCCCACAGAACATAGAGGGAGGGAAAAAAAAGTTAAGGGTAGCCAGACACAGTGGCACCCGCCTGTCACCCCCGTGACTCAGGAGGCTGAGGCAGGAGGATTGAAAGTTCGAGGCCAGCCTGGGCAATTTAGTGAAACACTGTCTCAAAGTAAAAAATAGAAAGGGTAGGGGATGTCGCTCAGCGGTGGGGCACCCCTGGATGAACCCCTAGTACCCCAAAAAGAAAACGGGTCAGGCAGGACTGCAAGAGCCAACTTGCTATTGACTGAGGCCAAGTAGGTTTGGAAGCGGAAATCAAGGACTCACTTGTGGCTATAGTGGCTGGTGAGCCCTCTGAGACCCTGGGGGGAGGCCACCCCTCGCCCAAAGCAGAGCCCGACACCATTCGGTGTCCGGCAGCGCATGTGGTTCCCTTAGCCCAAAGCAGCCAGGGGCGACGGGGTGCCTGGCCCGGGATGCACTCACTGTCGCATGCCATGTGTGCCCACAGTGTGCCCCAGCCTGGACATCCGCTCAGAGGTGGCAGAGCTGCGGCGGCTGGAGAACTGCAGCGTGGTGGAGGGCCACTTGCAGATCCTGCTCATGTTCACGGCCACGGGGGAGGACTTCCGCGGCCTCAGTTTCCCCCGCCTCACCCAGGTCACCGACTACCTCCTGCTCTTCCGCGTCTACGGCCTGGAGAGCCTGCGGGATCTCTTCCCCAACCTCGCGGTGATCCGGGGGGCGCGCCTCTTCCTGGGCTACGCGCTGGTCATCTTCGAGATGCCACACCTGCGCGACGTGGGGCTGCCCGCGCTGGGGGCTGTGCTGCGCGGGGCTGTGCGCGTGGAGAAGAACCAGGAGCTCTGCCACCTGTCCACCATTGACTGGGGACTGCTGCAGCCTGCGCCCGGTGCCAACCACATCGTGGGCAACAAGCTGGGCGAGGAGTGTGCAGACGTGTGCCCAGGGGTGCTGGGAGCCGCTGGTGAGCCCTGTGTCAGGACCACCTTTGGTGGGCACACGGACTACAGGTGCTGGACCTCCAGCCACTGTCAGAGAGGTGGGTGTGGCACAGAATATGACCGTGGGGCACAGGGAAGCAGGGCCAGGTGGGCCAGGGTGGGCGCAGGATGGTGCAGTGGGTACCTACTGCCACTGATTTAATCTTGTCCAATGAGGCAGGTACTATAGTTATTCCCATTTTACAGAAAATGAAACCGAGGTGCAGGAGAGTTAAGTAACTGATGTAGCAACTAGGAGTAGATACAAAATGGCATCAAAGCAGGCCTACAATCCCAGTGATTCAGGAGACGGAGGCAGGAGGATCACGAGCTGGAGGCCAGTCTGGGCAACTTAGAAAGATTCTGTCTCAAAATAAAAATATAAAAAGAGTTGGGGAAAAAAAAAAGAAAAAAAGAAAGAGTTGGGGATGTAGTTCAGTGGTAATGTGCCCCTGGGTTCAATCCCCAGTACTGGAGGCAGGATCAGAATCAGGTAGTCATGGAATAGGACAAGGACAGGTACAAACAAGGCAGGCATGGGGCGCTGGGGAGAAAATATGCACATATGGACAGAAGACTGAACAGGCAGTCTTAGGTTAAAGCCAGGCGGCCGGGTCCAGGTCTCAGCTCTACTGATTTTGGCTGTGCCTCAGGCCCCTCTTCTGTAAAGGGATCCCAGGGTTGTCAGGAGGGGTGAGTTCCACAGAGTACTAGAGAAGCACCTGGGCCACCGTAGTGGTTCTGGTTCATAGTAAAAGTGGCCACGTGCTAAGTGCAGCGGCCCACACCTGTGATCCCAGGCACTAGGAATCCTAAGGCAGTGGGACTACAATTTCAAGGCCAGCCTGGGCCACTTAGTGAGACCCTGTCTCAAAAACAAAACAAAACAAAAAAAAAATTAAAAGGAGAGCTGGGGGTGTAGCTCAGTGGTAGAGCACCCTGGGTTCAATCCCCAGTGCTGGTGGCGCACATCTGTAATTCCAGCAGCTCTGGAGACTGAGGGAGGAGGAGCAGGATTTCAAAGCCATCCTCAGCTATATAGGGAGGACCTAAGCAATTCAGCGAGACCCCGTCCTTAAATAAAATATTTTTAAAAAGACTGGGGATGTGGCTCAGTGGTTGAGCACCCCTGGGATCAGTCCCCAGTACCAAAAATAAAAATAAAAAAAGAAAGAGGGAAGAAGAAGAGGAGGAGGAAGAAGAGAGGAGGAGGAGGAGGTTATTTATGGAGCCAGAGGAAAGGAGTAGAGAAGAGAGGGGGAGAGAAGGAGGGGTGCTAGTGGAGGGGAAATGAAAGTTATGGGGGGGGGGAAGACCTTTCGGAAGCCAGGAGCGGATCTGGGATCTGCAGCCTAGGAGTCTCTTCCAGACAGTTCATGGAGGTCAGTTCCTCTCACCTCCTTGGCCTCCGCATAAGGGCAGGCGAGTAACCGGATCCCTGCTGTAGCGGAGGCCACTTCCCTGAGCCTCCCTGTTGGCTGTAAACACAGCTGTTCCAAGTCCTCTCGTGTACAGTATCAACAGACCCTGGCTGACCCCACCCCACACATGGCTCCCAGACACCCAGCTGCCCCGGTGCCCGTCCAGGCTCAGTGTCCCTGGCACTGAACCCACCCCCTGCCCCAGGGGAGGGGGAGCTGGAGAGGGAGGCAGAATGGGCAGGGCGTGGACACGTGAGGGGTGGCGACCCTTCCCTCCACACGCTCCCAAGCCCACCTYGCCCCTGGCCTCACTGCTCAGGAAAGACCAGCTGGTTCACCCTGGCACCGTGCCCAGCGATGATGTGGGCACCAGGCCTAGACAGGACAGCAGGCCAGAGAGCAGCAACCCTGATGGGCAAGGTCACCGCTGTGTCCTGAGTTCTAACACCTCCAACTGGACACCGCGGGAGGTGGAGAGCCACAGAGAGGAGTGATGGTCCTGGTCCTCAGAAGACCCTGTCGGAAGGAAACCGGTGTCACTGAATCAGAGGATGCAAGCTGAGAGTGCCATGGGGCCAGGCTGGCATAGGGTGACAGGGCCGAGGGGAGTGGTGAGGTCTGACCCAGCTCTCTGCCCACAGTGTGTCCCTGTCCCCAAGGCCTGGCCTGCACGGCCGGGGGCGCCTGCTGCCAYGCCGAGTGTCTGGGGGGCTGCAGTCGGCCTGAAGACCCTCGGGCCTGCGTGGCCTGCCGCCACCTGTACTTCCAGGGAGCCTGCCACAGAGCCTGCCCTCCAGGCACCTACCAGCAGGAGTCCTGGCGCTGCGTCACGGCCGAGCGCTGTGCCAGCCTGCGCTCGGTGCCCGGCCGCGCCTCCACCTTCGGCATCCACCAGGGCAGCTGCCTGGCCCAGTGCCCGCCAGGCTTCACCCGCAATGGCAGCAGGTGAGCGGAGGGGGGAGGGGGGAAGCCTGGGCCGGTGAGGAGGCCTGAGGAGGCCCACAGGGATCCAGAGCTCATGCCACCCGATTGTCCCCACCAGCATATTCTGCCATAAATGCGAGGGGCTGTGCCCGAAAGAATGCAAGGTGGGCACCAAGACCATCGACTCGGTGCAGGCGGCCCAGGACCTGGTGGGCTGCACCCACGTGGAGGGGAGCCTCATCCTCAACCTCCGCCAGGGCTGTCAGTACCTCCTGGGGCCGTGGGCCTCCTCCTCGCCACACCCGCCCTCCCAGCCTCGCCCATTACAACCAGCTGGCTAAGTACCACTTTCTTCACCCAGGCCAGCCCTSAGGACCCACTCACCCCGGACCTCCTCCTGCCCCTGCCCTGTGGGCCGGCCCCTTCCCTACTCCGGCCCACCCCTGTCTTCCTTCCTCAGACAACCTGGAGCCCGAACTGCAGCGCAGCCTGGGGCTGGTGGAGACCATCACTGGCTTCCTCAAAATCAAACACTCCTTCGCACTCGTGTCCCTGGGCTTCTTGAAGAACCTCAAGCTAATCCGGGGGGATGCCATGGTGGATGGGTAAGGGGTCAGAATCAGGCCTCCGTCCAGCCCCTTCCCTCAGCATTCCCAAAAGAGTGGTGAAGACAATGGGCTGTGGAACCCGTTCAGCCACTTACTAGCTGTGTGACTCTGGATTGGTTACTTAACTTCTCTGGCTGTTTTTCATTGATAAAATGAGGCTACTTTAACACTACTTATTTCTTAGGGGCTGCTGTGAATATTACTTAAATTGTGATGTGTAAAGCACTTAAAATAATGCCTGGAACGCAGTGTATACAATGCAAATCAGAGTTACACAGAACTCCATAAGGATTGGCCATAATTGTTAACATCCCATCCTGCGTAACATGCCTGCATAGCATGTCTTGCCTGGGTTTTAAACTCACTCCCACCAACAACTGGACAAGACCTACCCAGAATGTAGCCAGGATTTTTCAAAATAAAAAGAATGCTTTAAATTAGCATCACAGTGGTGCACGCCTGTAATCCCAATGACTCAGGACCTGAGATAGGAAGATCACAAGTTCAAGGACAGTCTGGTCAATTTAGTAAGACCCTATCTCAAAATTAAAAAAATAAAATAAAATAAAAAGACTACAAATGTAGCTTAGTAGTAAAATGCTCCTGGGTTCAATCCCCAGTACTAAAATAATAAGGATAAATAATAAATTAATGAATTAATTAACGTCAGCCGGAGCGTGGTAGCTCATGCCTATAATCTCAGCAATGCAGAAGGCTGATGCAGGAGGATTGCAAGTTGGAGACCAGTCTCAGCAACTTAGTGAGACCCTGTCTCAAAATAAAAAATAAAAAGGGTTGGGATGTGGCTCAGTGGTTCAGTCCCCAGTACTCCCCCCCCMCACACACACAAAGTTAGCATTAGTCAGGTGCTTTCCTGTGGCTCCTCATGTCTCCTGGCACATCGTTGGTTACACCTAGAGGTGCCCACACCCCAGCCTGAGACCCACTGCCTCAGGATGAGAACCATCCCTCCTGTGTCCCCCAAATCAGGATGCAGCAAGTGTTCAAAGTGAGATGAAGTCAGGAAGGAAACAGGGTAGCTCTTGAGCCCATTTCACTGATGGGAACAACAGAGAAGACAGATGACCTGCCAGACATCACACTCCTGGTCAGTAGCACAGAGTGGGTGTGCCCAAGCCCCCCACCCCTGTGCTCTGGCTGTGAGTGGCTGCCCATGACCAGCACTGCCCCTCCAGGAGGAGCCCCAAAGCCACCCCTTTGGCACCCCCAGCCCCTACCTCCCTACAGAATAAGGTCGCCTGGCCTCCCCCAGGAACTACACTCTGTACGTGCTGGACAACCAGAACCTGCAACAGCTGGGGTCCTGGGTGGCCACTGGGCTCACCATTCCTGTGGGCAAGATCTACTTTGCCTTCAATCCGCGCCTCTGCTTGGAGCACATCTACCGATTGGAGGAGGTGACGGGCACCCGGGGTCGGCAAAACAAGGCTGAGATCAACCCCCGCACCAATGGAGACCGCGCTGCCTGTAAGGCCCAGACCCGTCCCCAGAGCGAGCAGCGCTCACAGTGCCACGCGACCCCCAGGCACAGCGGGACGCTCACGCGCGCTGCCATCCCCACACCCTGCAACGCACCAGGCACACGCACTCGGGTGGGAGGGGTCGCTTGAAGGGGACAGCCACTTTGGAGGTCCCGTGGTGGGTGGGATGCCTCGGGGCAGGGTGGGGCTCGAGCAGGTGACAGGCGCGTTGGGAGCAGTGTTTACCCGGTCCCTGAGCCCAGGCCAGACTCGCACCCTGCGCTTCGTGTCCAACGTGACGGAGACGGACCGCATCCTGCTGCGCTGGGAGCGCTACGAGCCGCTGGAGGCCCGCGACCTGCTCAGCTTCATCGTCTACTACAAGGAGTCGTGAGTACCCGGCGGGGCGCCACCCGGACCGTCAGAGAGGGACCGGCCGGAGGCCGACGAGGGCGGGGCGCCTGGGGCTCCGGAGAGCCGGGAGCTAGGACCCCCAAGTGACATTTCAGTGTGGGGCCCACACTGGGCGCTACTTCAGTTTCCCTCACCAAGGGACGAAGGGGACCGTCAGGGCTTCTGGGAGCTGCGATCCCTCTGCTGGAAGGCTTGATAATTAAACTTCAATTCACTATGCTAATGCTCCACACTGACCACACGCTCCTGCCCCAGCAGTGGTTTGGGGAGTGCCCATTAATTTGGCCAGTTTTAAGAGCAGCTCTGCCAGCACTTCATTAAAGCCGGAGAAAGGGAGGGTGCTGAGATGGCCAGGGACCGGTTGCTTGTTTCCTTGAAGAGAATGGAATGACCCTAGCAACAGGGATCACAGTTAGAACACAGAAGAACTTCCCCTCCAAACATGGCTAGGAATCAAAAAGAGGGGAGAAATGGATTTTGGAGGGCAGGCTGGACAGGCAGGAGTGAGGAATATTCTCTCCCAGGTAGAGAAGATGCAGCCATCTGGCTTGGAAAGACTGTCTATGAATTAAAATTGGAAATCTTTTTTTTTTTTTTTTTTTTTAGGTCCTGCCTTAGGGGGAGGGTGAGAGGCTTCCCCAGTGGTGGGTGACTGGAGCTAGCATAAGGGGCTGGAGAATTTGTACAGTATAGATTGTGAATTGTCTAGTCCCCAGTACAGCCTGTAAGTCTGCATCGCCAACGAGCTTCTAGGCGATGCTGAAGGTGCTGGTTCATGGATCACATTGTAAGAAGCACTGACAGGGTCTGCAATGTGAATGGCACCCCCGACTCATGAAGTTCCCAACTGCACAACTCTACACAGATGCTTTTGGGCAACAAGAGCAGAGAATCATGGGGATCCTCCAGGGGCTCCCTAATATTACTGCCTTGCAGTGTGACTGCTGTGCTCCCTCAGATGCATGCACATGATCGTGGCTCACCCATGGCATTGATTCTGCACCTCTACACACTTGCTCCTGGACTGTCCTGCTTCCATCCCAACAAGGGCAGGCACTTCCTGCTGAGCCTAAATCCCCCACTCACTTTTCTTTTCTTTTTTTCTTTCTTTCTTTTTTTTTTTTTTTTTTTTTTTTTACCAGGGATTGAACCCAGGGGGCACTTAACCACTGAGCCACATTCCCAGCATTCTTTATGTTTTTATTTTGAGACAGGGTCTTGCTAAGCTGTTTAAGGTCTGGATAAGTTGTGGAGGTTGGCTTTGAACTCACAATCCTCCTGCCTCAGCCTCCAGAGTCTCTGGGATTACAAGCATGTGCAACCACACTGGATTATCCTGTTTCCCTTTGACATCCCCTCAGGTTCTGTCCCTTGCTCAGCAAGAATTTCACCCCTCTATCTCCCTCCAAAGCACAAAGCCCCAGATTTTCCCCATCATCTACCTTGACACCTCCCATTGGGCTCCACTTTCATCTTTCCCAGCAACCAGCCCCCCCCCCCAGGAGCTATAGAACTGTGCTTATAGTCTTCAATTCCACTTGAGGGGAAGGGAATTAGGATAACTTCATATCCACCTTTATATATATATATATATATATATATATATATATATATATATATATATATATATATATATATATATATATATATATATCCACAATGCAAAAAAAATTGGGAAGTGGGTACTGGGAATTGAACCCTGGGGTGCTTTACCACTGAGCTACAATCTCCAGTCCTTTTATTTATTTTGAGGCAGGGCCTCATAAATTGCAAAGGGTCTCCTTAAGTTACTGAAGCTGACCTTGAATTACAATCCTCCTGCCTCAGACTCCCAAGTCACTGAGATTATAGGCATGTGCCAACCCCTCCCAACTTACAATGCAAACATTTTTAATGTTCCTTGTGACTAAAGCTTGGTGTTTCCTGCTAACAATGAGGAGATGATTCATTACAAATTTGGTTGGCCACAGATATCACAGGGGGCACAGGGTCTATCAGGTGGATGGAGTTATGGCTCTGCCCTCATCCGTAGTGGAAGAACAATGACAATGACAGTCCCCTGGTGATTCAGGAGGAAAGAGTATGCTAGAACATGGGGATGGGGCTGAGCCAGTTCTCAGTTCTGGGGACGGGGTGTTCAGCCCATTCCAGAATGCCACAGAGCATGTGGGTCCAGATGCCTGTGGAACTCAGAGCTGGAACCTGCTGGATGTGGAGCTGCCCCTAAGCCGCACCCAAGAGCCAGGGGTCACCTTAGCCCCCCTGAAGCCCTGGACACAGTATGCAGTGTTTGTGCGGGCTATCACACTGACCACTGCTGAGGACAGCCCTCATCAAGGAGCCCAGAGCCCGATCGTCTACCTCAGGACCCTGCCTGCAGGTAGGCTAAGCACTGAGAGGACCGAAGTCACTGTACCTGTATCTAGTGAGAAGAACGTCGGGGACCGAGGTACCAGAAACAGAGAGGCTAGGACACTGAAGATCTGGTCCTAGAGAAGGGGAGGTCAGAGGCCTGAGTCCTAGAAAGAATAGGGGGCATTCACCTGGGTTCTAGGGAGGGTGCCTTTGGAACAGTGCAGGAAATAAGCTGGGTGAACTCAAGGGACTTTGGAGAAGGGGAGGACAGCATTCTGATCTCTAGGAAGGAAGGTCACCTACGCCTCCAGAGAGGGGAGATGGACTCCAGAGAGAGAGGGACTCATTACCAGACACTATCTGGAAGGGGAACCCGCGGCCTCTGAGTGGTACTCTCCTCACACCACCAGCACCCACGGTGCCCCAAGACGTCATCTCCACGTCCAACTCCTCCTCCCACCTCCTGGTGCGCTGGAAGCCACCGACCCAGCGCAACGGAAACATCACCTACTACCTGGTCCTGTGGCAGAGGCTGGCGGAGGACGGCGACCTCTACCTCAATGACTACTGCCACCGTGGTGCGCAGGCCGGCAGGGTGGGGGTTCAGGTCTGGCTCGGTGGGCACCAGAGGAGGGAAGACCCCCTCTCTAACGACTGTCTTCACGGACGCGGCGCTAGGCTTGCGGCTGCCCACCAGCAACCACGACTCCCGCTTCGACCGCGAAGATGGGGAACTCGAGGCCGAGACCGAACCGGGCTGCTGCCCCTGCCAGCACTCACCTCCTGGACAGGCCCTGCCGCCGCTGGAGGCGCAGGAGGCCTCGTTCCAGAAGAAGTTTGAAAACTTTCTGCACAACGCCATCACCATCCCCAAGTGCGACCAGGCACACGCCGAAGGGGCGGGTCTGATGGGCGGGGCCTGGAGGGTGGGTCTTCCAGAGAGGTGGGGGCTTGGGCGTGGCCTGAGTTGTGGGTGGGGCCTTGTTGTGGGCGGTGCCTGAGTTGTGGGCGGGTTTGGGGAGAAGGAGGTGTGCTGTCGCAGAGCGCGCGGGGTGCGTTCCAGTGGAGCCTGATAGCGCTTTCCCGGGCCCCTTAGGTCCCCTTGGAAAGTGACCTCCCTCAACAAGAGCCCTGAAAGGTGAGCCGGGATGGCGCTGGGGACTGAGGGGCGAGACTCCAGGGAACGGGCCCTGGCTGACCTACGCCCTCTCCAGGGACTCGGTGCGGCACCGCCGGGCCGCCGGGACCCTCAGACTAGGGGGCAACAGCTCGGATTTTGAGATCCAGGAGGACAAGGTTCCCCGAGAGCGGGCTGTGCTGAGCGGCTTGCGCCACTTCACCGAGTACCGGATCGACATCCACGCCTGCAACCACGCGGCGCACACCGTGGGCTGCAGCGCGGCCACCTTTGTCTTTGCGCGCACCATGCCCCACAGTAGGTACACCCCCACCTCTACCTCCACCGCTGTCCCTGACCTCCTCGCCCCAGAAACTCGCTTTGCTCGCCCCTCCCCGTTTCCATAATCCTAGAGCTTCCCCAGACCTCGCAGTTCAGCCCAGTTTAACTTGATCTTGAACGTGAGACAGAGGAACTACTGGTGGCCTGATTGCCAGATGGCCCCTCCCGCAGGAGAGGCTGATGGTATCCCAGGGAAGGTGGAGTGGGAGGCAGCCAGCAAGAGCAGTGTTCTCCTGCGGTGGCTTGAGCCACCGGACCCCAATGGACTCATCCTCAAGTATGAAATCAAGTACCGTCGCTCAGGAGAGGTAGGTACCCTAGGGCACCCCCTGTCTCAGCCCCTATTTTGTGCCTACACCCCCTTCCCAGCCAGCTCTTCTGTGCTCCCCGTAGGAAGCCACAGTGCTGTGCGTGTCCCGGCTGAGATATGCCAAAGTTGGTGGGGTCCACCTGGCCCTGCTTCCCCCTGGGAACTACTCTGCGAGGGTTCGTGCCACTTCCCTGGCTGGCAATGGCTCTTGGACGGACAGTGTTGCCTTCTACATCCTTGGCCCAGGTACACAGACGAATCCCCAAACCACACTGCTTGATCCCCAGCCTACCAGACCCCTCCACCCCATCCTTCCCATCCTGGTCTCCCAGTGGTTAGAGGGGAGCATCCCCTTCCCTTGGACTTTTCAATTTTTGACCCTGCCCTCTGCTGTCCTGTGACCACTAGAGGAGGAAGACTCTGGCGGTCTGCACGTCCTCCTCACTGTCACCCCCGTGGGCCTCATGCTGCTCATCATTCTTGCTGCCCTCGGTTTCTTCTACGGCAGGAAGAGGTGATGATAGTTCCCACTGTCCTTCTCTTCCTCATGTCAGCACACTCGGAGGGTGGGAGACCAGACAGCAGAGAGCACTGCCCCCCGCGGATTAATTCTTCCCCAGAGATGACCTGGAGGAGTCATACCCCTAGGCTAGGGTGACCAATTCATCCTGGGTAGCCTGGGATTTTCCCCGTTTTAGCAGGGAAACCCCTCCGTGTGGGCACACAGGGCCTGGTGGACCACTGCACTCTCGACCCAAGATGAGAAATAATGAGTCTAGTCCTGCCATAGCAAGGGGACAGACAAGAGATCTCAGCATGTGTCCCAGACACTTCATATCAGATCCCTCTGGGACAGAATGCAAGAGGGATGTGAGGGCAGGACACTGGTCAGCTGAGTCCTAGGGATGTCCCGAAGGGTCAGGAACCCCTTTATTCCTGAGTCTGCCTACTCCCAACCTGCCATATTCCAGCACTCAGACCAAAATCAGCTTGGAAATGTTTTGTGCTTTCCTGGGAGGTCACCCTGACCTGGGCTGGGGTGTGGCCAATGACCCTCCTCCTCGAGGGGTCCCCTTCCTTGTGTCCCTCTTCCAGCCTGACCCCCTTGCTTCCTGTTGCAGAAGTGGCACCCTGTATACCTCTGTGAATCCGGAGTACTTCAGCGCCTCTGAGAGTAGGTCTGGGGGCGGGGGACAGGTGGTGTGGGAAGGGAGACAGAGCGGAGGAGAAGCTTCCAGGATACTTGGAGAAGGTGGCCTTGGGACTAAAGCACTTCCCAAGAGGAGGAAGAAGTGGGTGGAGGTGAGGCAGAGAGCAGCCTCCCTGCCTCATGCCCCCCTCCTCCTCTCAGTGTACGTCCCTGATGAGTGGGAGGTGCCCCGGGAGCAGATCTCCATCATCCGGGAGCTGGGCCAAGGCTCCTTTGGGATGGTCTATGAGGGCCTGGCACAAGGACTCGAGGCTGGAGAGAAGTCCACGCCGGTAGCCCTGAAGACGGTGAATGAGCTGGCCAGCCCACGGGAACGCATTGAATTCCTTAAGGAAGCTTCTGTCATGAAGGCATTCAAGTGTCACCACGTGGTAAGGAGGTCAGGCATTGTCCGGGTCATAATTAAAGTAAAAGTAACGTGGTGAGAGGGAAAGAGTCAGAGATGACTTCAGGGCATCATCAAGATCAGGGCTGGGACTGTGGTTAGGACCCTAATTAGGAGCACCTAAGTATAGTGGTGCACAACTGTAATCCCAGTGACTTGGGCCCAGAGACTAAGGAGTCTGGAGGACTAAGGAGGATTGAAAGTTTGAAGCCAGCCTCAGCAACTTAGTGAGACCCTACCTCAAAAAAAAAAAAAAAAAAAAAAAGCCACAAGCCTGAAATCCCAACAGCTCAGTAGGCTGAGGATCTCAAATTCAAAGCCTCAGCAACTTAGTGAGGCCCTAAGCAATTTAGCAAGACCCTGTCTCAAAATAAAACAAAAATTAAATTAAAAAAGTTAGGGCTGGGATGTAGCTCAGTGGCAAAGCGTCTGCCTTGCATTCGCAAAGCCCTGGGTTCGACCCCCAGTTCCAAAAAAGACAAAAAAAAGAACCCCACCAATAAAAAAGTTAGAGGCTGGGCAAGGTGGTACACACCTGTAATTCTAATAGCTCAGGAGGCTGAGGCAGGAGGATTGTGAATTCAAAGCCAGCCTTAGCAACTGTGCGGCACTAAGTAACCTGCCTCTAAATAAAACACAAAATAGGGTTGGGGATGTGGCTCAGTGGTTGAGTGCACCTGAGTTTAATCCCTGGTACAAAAAAAAAAAATTAGAAGGGCTGGGGATGTGGCTCAGTTGTAGAGTACCCCTGAGTTCAACCCCCAGTACCACACATGTACACACAACAAAAACAGAAAGAAATCTTAGGGTTATGGCTATAGTTGAGACATGTCATGATTGGGGGTGTCCAGAGGATTTTTAGGGTCATGATTGGAATGGAAGTCAGAGCTGGGCCAAGTTCATGATGTGACAATTTTCAGATATGATCAAGGTTCTGAGGGCTGTGAGTTCGGGTCAGCATCGCTGTTAGATCAGGATCAAGGTTGGCGTTATGGCTGGGATAAAGGTCAGAGTGGATGTCTGGGTCAGGCTGAGGTCACAGCAGGTCAAGGTTTTGGCCAGGTTGGTCCAAAGGAGGTGGGTCTATCTGCAGCCAAACTCTCTGTCCATCCCAGGTGCGTCTTCTGGGAGTCGTGTCTCAGGGCCAGCCAACTCTGGTCATCATGGAGCTGATGGCCCGGGGGGACCTCAAGAGCCATCTTCGGTCTTTGAGGCCTGAGGCAGAGGTGGGAACCAGGAAGACCCTGAGCCTTCAGAGGCTGGGGAGCCTGAGAAGACTTGGGCACAGTGTGGGGACAAGTCCAGGTACCTTCTTCACCAGCCCTGTCTCTTGGCCCTAGAACAACCCCGGGCTCCCACAGCCAGCACTAGAGGACATGATCCAGATGGCGGGTGAGATCGCGGATGGCATGGCTTACCTGGCCGCCAACAAGTTCGTGCACCGAGACCTGGCAGCCCGTAACTGCATGGTGTCCCAGGACTTCACTGTCAAGATCGGGGGTACAGAGGGTGCCAGGCAGTGAGGGCCTCCCGAGGAGTAGAGACCCCCCTCGCTAGCTCCCCATAGCCACAGCTCCAACCCCGACAGCCTATGAGAACTTTGTCAAGTCAGTCCCCAGATGAGTCTCCTGGCCCAAGGTCGGAGGCTTTGGGTGGGATGACCTCCGAGGTCCTTTGAGCCCCCACATAAGACTCTCGGAGGCTGTGGAGGTAGAGAGGGCTGGGAGAGGGATTCCTGGGGCAGGATCCGGTGTGTGACCTCCATGCCTCCTCCACCCGCTTCTTCTAGACTTCGGGATGACTCGGGACGTGTATGAGACAGACTATTACCGCAAGGGTGGGAAGGGGCTGCTGCCCGTGCGCTGGATGGCCCCCGAGTCCCTCAAAGATGGAATCTTCACCACCCACTCAGATGTCTGGTGGGGCTCGGGGGGATCAGAGGGTTCCGGGGATGGTGGGGTGTCATCTGGGCAGCCTGAGGGTGCACTGGGCAGCCTGAGGGTGCTGGGCTCAGGCCCACTGTGTGTCCTCAGGTCCTTTGGTGTGGTGCTCTGGGAGATCGCCACCCTGGCCGAACAACCCTACCAGGGCCTGTCCAATGAACAAGTGCTCAAATTTGTCATGGACGGCGGGGTCCTGGAGGAGCTGCAGAGCTGTCCCCTTCAGCTGTGAGTCACCCCTGCCTACCCCACCCCCAAGACCCCGGCCTGCCACCTCTGATGCTTCTGTGTCCACTGACCCCTGGCCCGCGGTGAGATGCCAGTTCTGCACTCTCACGAGGCAACCCCCACGCCACTGCCCTCCTCTGGTTCTCCCACACACCACGCCCCTGGACCCTCGACTTCACCGAGGGACCCTCCCAGTGCAGAAGGCTGGGAGTGAGCGCCTGGGACTCCAGGATCCTCAACACTGCCTCCCCCACCTGCCAGGCAGGAGCTGATGAGCCGTTGCTGGCAGCAGAACCCACGCCTGCGCCCGACCTTCACCCACATCCTGGACAGCATACAGGAGGAGCTGAGGCCCTCCTTCCGCCTGCTCTCCTTCTACTACAGCCCAGAGTGCCGCGGAGGCCTGGGCTCCTTGCTACCCACTGACGCAGAGCCCGACTCCCCACTAACTCCAAAAGAGGCCTCAGAGGGCAGCCCCCAAAACGGGGGTCCAGGGCATTAAGGGACTCCCCATTCCCTAGCTGACTGGCCTCTCATGGGTAAAAAGGAAGGGACCCCATCTTTGTGCCCATGAGATGTCCAGATGTTCACCTCCCACCCAGCCATGCTCAGGGCAGGGAACGGCCAAGAGTGGGACAGAGAGCAGGAGCAGGAAGACTCAGGAGCAGTCAGAACAGACTGCAGGAAAGAGCGTCAGCAGTTGGAGTTCGTGGGAAAGCAAGCAGGGCCTCGGTGGGAGGAATCATTAGACCACAGACAGGCATCCCACCGCCCGCAGAGGGAGAGGCCCTGCTCCCACTGAGAGGAGACGGCCCATCTGCCCTGGAAGCGGAGTCGGAAGAGCCCACCCTCAGCTCGGCACCTCCTGTGGACATCTGGGTTCATCAACGGGAGCAATCAGAGCCAGGCCTGGACCCTGTCCATCCATGCTGGGGACGCCCAGGATGGATGTGCAGATTGCTGCCCGTCCTTCAACTGCATCACCTCCTCCCTTGGCCCCACACACCAGGGGGCATGGTGAGAACCCTGGTGAGCAGGCCCCCAGCCTGCCCTGGTGGGCCTGCCCCAACTCCTCTCCCCTGGCCCCACAGGGACCCCCAAGCTTGGTGCTCCTCCTTCTGGTTCCCCAGGGGCCTCCCTTGGTGCACATTCCCTGCTTTGTCCAGTCTTCCCCTGCCTCTCATGGGAGACTGGAGAAGGCACAATAAAGGCTGAGGTCTGTTTGGACCCAGGTCCCGGCAGTACTCTCTCCGTCTCTATGCTGCACTTCCTCTCCCTCTCCTGCGGGACTTGAGGTGGTGACCCGAGGGTGGTAGGTAAGACAGGATAAGTACGCCTCTCCATGAGGCGCTGAGCAGCCGGGCTGCCACGCAGGACCCAGGACAACTTGCCATTCCCTTCTGCTCACTCAGGACCCAGGACAACTTGCCATTCCCTTCTGCTCACTCAGGACCCAGGACAACTTGCCATTCCCTTCTGCTCACTCAGGACCCAGGACAACTTGCCATTCCCTTCTGCTCACTCAGGACCCAGGACAACTTGCCATTCCCTTCTGCTCACTCAGGACCCAGGACAACTTGCCATTCCCTTCTGCTCACTCAGGACCCAGGACAACTTGCCATTCCCTTCTGCTTGGGGCCAGAAGTGGTTGAACCCAGCAGGGAATCTTTCTATCTGCCCTCCCGGCAGAGCCCAGCGTCCCCCACGCCCATCTTTGCGGTCTCCTGCTCTGTCTGGCCCCTGGGCCGGCATTTCCTCCCAGGAAATCCCAGGGCAGACTTTAAGTGGGAAGACCACGCATAGCGCATAGCGCTGCCTTTGAAAGACATTATAGCTGCACCACAGGGGAGTCAGGGCCCAAGGCTTCTATGTCAATGCCAGCACATCTGAAGGGGAAGAGGTGCAGGACAATGACCGCAAACCTTGGTGAAGCAATGGGAGGGGCAGGTCACAGTTTGGGACAATTTTTTTTTTTTTTTTTTTTTTAGTACTGGGGATTGAATGCAGGGCTTCACCATGCCAAGCACCCTCTTTACCACTGAGCTTCATGCTCTATCCCTCAGACTCTTTAGCTTCCTGCATCTGTGTCTCTGGGACCACAGTGTTCAAGTTGCCACCCACTGCCACCAGTACTGAGCATCCTTGCTTGACAAGARAGTGGTCAGACAGGGTGAGACCATCTCTATGACAGCAGCTATCCTGTTACCCTGACAGAGTCAGGGTGGGCATCAAGGACCACCTGGGGGAACAGACCCCTCCTCTGCCCTTGCCCAGCATTGGTGACTGAAGCAACAGTGACGCCTAATGGTTGGCAACAGAACTGCAGCTATTGGAGGAAAGAGCTGTACCCCCTCCCCATCTCTTGTTTTCTGTTGCTGGTCTCCTCCAGACTTTTAGGAGAATGGAAGAGAGGAGAGTCCACACAAAAGCCCTGGACCTAACACCCACACGCTCACACGGAGCTCACAGACATACTGAACCTGCACACACTGCAGAAGATGCAATGGGGTCAAACCCTCCCCCACCAAGTCCCCAACCTCCAGGGCTGGGACTGCGTGCTCAGGAAGTGCTGGTCACCTGGGTGTGCTGGAGGAACTTCAGGAAGGGACTGGAATTTAAAGAAAAGAGGGCTCCAGGAATACCCTGCCTGCGGAGCACAGTGTAATCCCAGCAACTCAGAAGGCTGAGGCAGGAAGATTGCAAGTTTGAGACCAGCCTGACTCAAAATAAAAAGGGCTGGAAATGTAGCTCATTGGTATAACTACTGATAGCTATTGGTAGAGCACCCCTGGGTTCAATCCCGAGTACAAAAAAAAAAAAATCCTGGGCGGGGGATATAGCTCACTTGGTAGAGTGCCTGCCTCGCATTCACAAGACCCTGGGTTCAATCCCCAGCACAAAAAAAAAAAAAAAAAAAAAAAAAAATCCTACCTGGGTTCTACTCTGAAGATGAGAGATGGCAGCTGGCTCGGAAGGATTTTTGTAGTAGGGTATAGAGAAGCTAGAGGACAAGCCCTGATGCCATCTGAGTCCCAGAAAAGGAGTAGGTTTAACAAGGTAGCAAGAGAGCTGAAGTTTGGACTTCGGGAGGAACTTCCCTACTAATCAAGGAAGGCTTGTGGAGGGAAGTCATGCCTTCTCTCCCAGTGACAGCTGGAGACAGATACAGGTTGACCTGGGAAGGAGGGAAGGACACCCACCACAGAGGAGGAAGGGTAACTGCATGACCTAAGAGAGAGAGTCCTGAGCACCTTTCTTTCTTGTGTGTGGTACTGAGAGTCAAACCCGGGGTGCTCTATCCCTGAGCTACATCCCAGCCCTTTTTATTTTATTTTATTTTTAATCTTGAGACAGGTTCTGGCTAAGTTGCCCAGGCCAGCCCTGAACTTGTGCTCTTTCTGTCTCAGCCTCCTGAGGCTCTGGGATTTCAGGCAGGCACCACCACACCAGGCCAGAAGCACAGTTCTTGGCCCCTCTGCCCAAATGGGACAGAACTCAAATAAATAGGAGCTGGGGTTGTGGCTCCGAGGGAGGGCGCTTGCCTGGAGCGTGTGAGGGACTGCGTTCGATTCTCAGCACCACGTATAAACAAACAAATAAATAAATGTCCTGCAGCTGGACAGAAGGTAGAAGATGGAGTGGAGACAGAGGAGCATAAAGAATGTTTTAGAGAGTTCCATGTCTTGGAACCGTTGCTGTGTCCCTGGGACAGGTCCCCACCACCCAGGCAGAAGGGTACTGGGGATATTAGATCTCATGTCCCATCCCTTCCAAGCTCAGGAACAACGGATGTGTCTTTGTAGGAGGATGGAGGACAGGTGCTCCAGGGAGAGAAGTCCAGGGACCCGGGGGAGGGGCAGAGGGAGTCCGAGATCAGGAGAGCTGAGCCCTGAGCCAGGTTCAGTAGGGACAAGCCCCAGCTCCTCTTCCTCTAGCCTCTAGGCAAATGGCTGCAGCCAAGGTGGCTCCCGAATATCACTGAGAGGGAAGAAGAGCAGGATATGAGGAGCTGAGCACAGTGGGGCCTGCCTGCCATCCCAGCAAGAGAGGCTGAGGCAGGAGTACAGTTGCTTAGCGAGACCCTGTCTCAAAATGAAAAGGCCGGAGACGTAGCTCTGTGGCAGCTCAGACGTAGCCCTGGGTTCAACATTCAATACCAAAAAAAAAAGAAAGAAAAAGGTGGGGTTTCAAGGAGAGGAGAGCAGCATCCCATGTCCGTCTGTTCTTGGCGAGGTCTCTTACCCCCCAATAACGCTGTGCTCCCTCCAGGCCTAGGGGTCTTGGGCGGCAAGGCACCAGACCTTAGATGCCCATCCAGGGGGCAATCCTGAAGAAACTGTGAACCTTCCCCTTGGCCTAAGGTCAACACCTGTGGAAGTTCCTCCCCTCCAAGTGTTTTGCCTTCTTCTCCAACTTTCTCTTGGGAGCTAAGGACAATAGGGATGTTAGTGCACGGCCACTGTTTTAGTAGCTTTTTTTTTTTTTTTGTGCTGTGACTAAAAGACCTAACAAGAACAGTTTTATTGGAAGAAAAGTTTATTTGAGGGCTCACAGGTTCAGAGGTCTCAATCTGTACCATAGACAGCAGGCTCCATTCCTCGGGGCTCGAGGTGACATAGGACAACATGGCGGAAGAGTGTGGCAGAGGGAAGCAGCTCTCATGATGATCAGGAAGCAGAGAGAAAGACTCCACTTGCCAGATACAAATGTGTACCCCAAAGCCACGCCCCTAATTCCTCACCTCCTCCAGCCTCACCCCACCACTCAATTAATACCATCGGGGAATTAATTCACTGATTGGGTGAAGGCTCTCATAACCCAATCATTTGTCCTCTGAACCTTCTTGCATCGTCTCACACATGAGCTTTTGGGGGACACCTCACATCCAGACCCTAATGACCACCAACCCACAGCCAAGGTCTTCCACCTTTCAGTCAGGAGTTCCTGCGAAACCCCAGGGCAACACTGCCTGCCCCTGGGGTGGAGGGGCATTTAGGGTCCCCCCAACCTGCAAGGTTGATAGGCTGAAGCCGGCACCACATCAACCCCTTATTTCTCCTTAGGAGTCAGGGGCCTGAACACTGAGTCATCTCCAGGTCATCCACCGTTCTGGGTCACTAGTGAGTGACCAGTAGGGTGACATCATCCCCGTCTGAAGAGGGTAGAAGAAGTGGTATTGAATAGACACCAAATCAGGAACCCTCCCACCCTCCATCTCTTCAAATGGCAGCTGAGCGGACGTCAACTGCTGCTGAAGCAGGATGGAGGGAGGTCGGATCGTGGAAAGACTTCCACAGGGTGGGAGGCCCAGCTGTGAAGGGGCACAGAGGCCTCTTTTGAAAGCAGAAGTTTCTAAAGGGGAGACCTCCATGCAGGAAGGCCAAGGCTGAAATGAGATAATGGATACCAAGTGCTTGGTAAGCGAAGGCGCACTACCCACGAATCATTGTCGTCGTTACCTAATTGTGATATCATTTAAAAAGATGCTGCCAAAGTCCATTC